ATCTTCATCTTCATCTTCATCTTCATCTTCATCTTCATCTTCATCTTAATCTTCATCTTCATCTTCATCCATTTCCTATCGCTGCAAAATATGCAAATGGCCCTTATTATGAGTTGCATTCGATTTTCGATCTTCGCTGTTTACTCACAAACTCACACACACATTTTCATTTTCAATCTCAAGCAACAACAATTTCGAACAATTTCAATTTTTTATTTTCACTTTTATATGATTTTAAAATGTTGGCAAACTTCAAAAAAAAATCATGGCAGACAAATTGAGAGAACGGTTATACCTTGCTATGTTTTTATCATGGTTAACACGATCTCTGAGAACCAAATCGAGAGCTTTTGATAGTTTTAAAATATTTTAAATACATTTGGCTCACAAAACCTGGCCAAGGACTGCCACTTCAGCATCATTCCCTAAATACTCTTTGTGGAATTTACTTACCGTTACACCCGCAAACATAGTCGACCGCGAAAATAAGTTTCGGGTCTTTCTTCGCCATCCACTATGTTAAGAGCCTTTCTTCGCTGAGTTTTTTTGTATGCGTCTTTTTTCGCTGTCAACTTCTGAGCTTGCGCCTTTATTCGTGTGTAGTGACGATATGTATGTAAGTATTATCACAGCGCACGGCAGTGCGCGCAAGTGACGAAAGCAGCCACAGTAGAATGCTGAAATGACTCCCTTATATATACACGAGATTTGGAAGTTTTTATCCAGACGTCCAATCGACATGCTTGAGATATCGTTGGAAAGATCTTGCAGAGTGTGTCCAGAAAACGTATTCAAGCTTCATAAACGATTAACTGAAATCCTAAAAATTTGGCTAAAGTGTTGCGAATCAAAACACGTGTTTTTGCTTTTGCCGGTTTAAGGGGGTATGAGGGTACACCCGACATATTTAGTGTCATTCTATAGGCCAATACCTTTCAAACGATACCTTACATATTAAGTTCCGCCTACTAGTTGGAATGATATAGAGCTAAATGTGTTTTGGTTCGTGTCTCCTCTACGAGATGCTTTGCGATGTGTGTAGCGTCTGAACGTACCTTCATTTGATTTTTTTCAAACTTTTAATAATTAAAGTATCAAAAAAACTAGGAAGGTTTTGTTCCAGGATGTTTCGATTCGTAGGCCTTTGTGGGCGTGGCTGGTGCCTGAAATTCGAAAAAAGGCAATTTTTTAAACTACAACTGAAGTCGCACTACTCATTCCATTCCATTGAAGTGGATATCAGTAGAAGGGTCTTCAAACAAGCTATCTAACGCTATAAAATATAAATATGTCATAACGTTATCGCCTGAAAACTAAAAATCGGGCTACTGAAAATATACATTTCGGGCATTTTCTCAAACAGGTCCGTCGATTTTATTCCAAGTTTCCACAAATCTAGCCCAGAACCTTACCTTTCATCTGGTATATAGCTTGTATCTGAGAATACTCTTGTTGTGGACATATTGCTATTCAAATTGAAAAAATGTCGCTCTAAAAAGGGTCAAATGGTTAAAAATTAACATATCCGTCTAATTTGGTTACTTTAAGATATAAAACTAATATACTCAGTTCCCCGAATAAAATGCCCACTCCCCGATTGCCACTTTACCCGAAATTCCCTGCCAGTAGGGGAATTTCCCGCGAGTTGAGTAGTTGAAGGATGCAGCTGTGCTAATCACTTCGTACATGTCTTGGAAACCACAATTTGTGTGTATTTTAGAGCTTTTTCCAGTCACATGCCGAAATTATTAGCTACAGTTGTACATAAATATGTATGTATGAATGCATTTAGTTCACCCAATGTGCCGCTACTACTTACATATGTATAAATTGCCACTGAACAAAACTACTTGAGAAAAAAGCAATAGTTTAATAGCACGAGTGCAACACCGTGCACACGATAGAAGTAAAACTTCTTAAAAAAAAACATATGAAAATCTTAACAAAAATAAACTATGAGACAATCAGACGAATACAGTTGTTTATTGTATCCAAAGTTGGTACCAAGTTGATAAGTTTTTATCATGTCTCATAATTTTTTTTTTTTAATTTTTTTTAATACAACGAATATGATCATTCTTTTTCGCTTTATTACGTATTCGAAAAATTATATGTTTCAATGGACACATCGATTTTAATATATAATTTAGATTAGGAAAATATTTTAAGCAATTTATTTGAAAAAAAAAAACATTAAGATTATTGTTTTTATTCTCGTCGATTTTAAATTTGCTACCCCGAAATAATTGTTATCAAATAAAACTCCTCTTTGAGGTAAAATTTTCGAGTGACGAAAGCTGAACTAGAAACACAAAATTTATGAAATCAATTTCGTGACGAAAGTTATACGCATTTTTTAACTGCCTTTGAAACGTACGTAAACTCTTTTATTATTTATTCGGAACGTTGCGAAATTCCGTCTACTGCTGGAAAAACAAAATAGAAATCAGAAATTTTGCAACGATTCGTATGAATAAAAAAGATTTTCCCTACGTTTCAAAGGCAGTTAAAAATTCGTGTAATTTTCGTCACGAAATTGATATCATAAATTTTGTGTTTCTAGTTCAGCTTTCGTCACTCGAAAATTTTACCTCAAAGAGGTGTTTTATTTCAAATTTGTATGTAGAACTGCTCGTTGATTCCGAAAATCGAGCTAGTTCTTTTGTATGGATAAGTTTTCGAGATATTTGCAATTTACCGTTATTCAACTTAAAACAAAAAGTGGTTCCACTTAATCACGTATATCTTACGAACCT